ATGAAGTTTGGCTCAAGAGTTTAATAGCCAAATTTTTAAGAGTTGGAGCACTATATCCAAAATATTTCCACCACTCATCTATCAAGAAGACAAGAAATATATAAAATGTTAGAAAATTTATAATTAAAAATAGTTTTAATAAAAAAGTATTAAAATTATAAATTAAAACTTAGAATCTTACCGGGTTTCATATCTTTTGAAGATTCAAGAGCACTTAAACGAGCAAAACTCTCCAATCTCTTCTCATACAACTCACATTCATTCCAAAATTTTTTCTTTTAAGAAGGAATTTTTGCATCCACAACATCCATAAACCATTTCATCACTTCTTGCTTGGTTCAAAAATGGTCTTTATCATAAAAGAAAGAAGGATTCAAGTAATAGACAGCAGCATGAATACTTTGACGAAATTGCCTATCACACCTTTCCTTGATAATTCTTGTATAAGGCTTATATAAAGACTTCCTATCCATCAATGTAGTCTCAATTGCCTTTCTAGCCCTATACATGCCATCATAGATATATCCAAGAGAAGGCTTTTCATCACCATCAACAATTATAAGCAAGTGCATAACTGGTGCCACAACTTTCACAACAAGTTGACAATTACTTCAAAATTTGTTATCTAAAACAATAACAACAATATCTTTTGCCTTCGAATCTTTGTCGTATCTAGACTCTTTAAATTCCAAACTAGTAACCAATGCTTGCAAATCATGCTTGTGGTTAGGAATGCTTTTCAATGCAGTGAATGTAGTGGCAAAATGTGTTGGCCCTAGATGTATAATTTCAGTCCACCCTTTTCTCTTTCTTAGCCAAGTTAAGAGAAAAGCATGATTATATATAAATTTAGTCACTAATGATGCACTAGTTGCCAATTTACTCACAACATCCAACTTGCCAATATTACTTAATATCAAATTCAAGCAATGTGCAGCACAAGGAGACCAAAAGATAGTTGGATACATGTCATTTAACATTTTTCCAACTTTCTTATAATTCCCTACATTATCAGTGACCAAATGGACAACATTATTAGCACCAACATAATCAACCAATTCTTCAAACAAATTTCGATGTATGCTAGCATCAATAGATCTCACAAAGGTTATCCCTTTAGAATAATAAACAAGAAAATTAATCAATTGCCTATTTTTTTGATCTTGCCAACCATCACCCATAATTGTACAACCGGTTTCTTCCCAAACTTTTCTATAAAAATCAACCAATAACTGAACCTTGTTTTTTAAATCTTTCAAAAGACTAGTTCTCACAGTATGATAAGTTGATCCTTTATAACCAAGACCAATTGTAGTAATAGCATCAATCATAGGCCAAAAGTATGGGGAATTAATAGCATTTATAGGAATGCAACTATCAAAGAAGAATCTAGCAACAGCTAAATTAGCTTGATGGATATCTTTTATACCTGCCATTGCACTCCTAATTGATGGTTGGGATCTAGGAGTTGTCCTCGGAGCAAAATAATTATGCAACCCACTTGCCTTTCTTTTTTTACTATTTTCCATGGTAATTGCTATTCTTTTTCCTTTAGCTTGAGAGGGTGGAGCAGGAATCTCTTGTAAGTCAGCATCACTAAATGGGTTATCTTCCCATTGATTTTTAGCTTGCTTCTTGATTTCTTCAAATTCTTTCAAACTTTCTTGCATTTGGAAACAAACATCATGTGGCACCTTGTCACATTTTTTTACTTCTCCACCTTTTCCAGTAAGGTGTTGTTTCATTCTATTTATTCCTCCTCCTCTAATAAGTTTTTGGCAATGTAAGCATTGTAATGTCTTTTTTGTTTTTTTTGTGCCTTCAACTTCAACACAATGTTGCCATGCAATATCAGTTTTTCCTCTACATGATTGTTGTGATTTTGTGTATATAGCAGTTGAATTTTGTTTGGAAGATGACATTTTCTTATAATTTACACAAATATAGAAAATTATTAAGAAAACCTCTAACTCTAAGAGTCCAAGTATGATAAATAAGAATTTATTTGAATAAAGATGCTACATTAAAATTTAAAATCAAGGCATAACAGATTAGGAAAAAATAAAATTAAGCATGAAAGCTTGATATTCATACATAATTTTTCTAAATATTACACAAATACTAATTAATAAAGAATTAATTTCTATCAGCAATTAATAGAACATATAAATTTGAGAATGAAATTCAAGGTAAAGTTAGAAATCTTACTCAAATCAAATGTCTAAGAGGAGAGGAGTCACAGACTGCTTCTGTTCAGTAATGAAGGGGATGATTTGTTTTCTTTGCTGCTTCTGTTTGGTCCAGTGAAGGAGAGGAAGATGAGTGGCGGAGGTGTGAGCTTTATCAAGATGCTGATGACAAAGGAAAAATGGCGAGCAGCCGACGAAGGTGTAGGGAGATCAAGCTTATTTTTGCTTTTGTTCAGCGGAGAAGATGTGGCAATAATTGGTGAGATGCCAACAAAAGTGGAGCAGGGAAATCAGGCTGCTTTGCTGCTTCTGTTTGATGAAGGTGTTCTGTTTGGCGGAGGAGATGAGGGTGAGTCGGTGACTGGTATGAGATACCAATGGAGTCACAGAGATGGAGCAGGGATGAGGGAGAGGGACAACCGACGATGTGTTTCTGGTTTTCTACTTTCTAATTCTATTTTTCCAAGTGTTTTACAAATAGTACTTTTTTATTAGGGTTTTTAGATTTAATTTTAGTTTAAATTTAAGGTTTTTAATGTAATATCATTAAAAAGATGGGATAAAATAGATAAATTACATTAAAAATATAAGAAGAAGTTGATAAAAGGGATGACGGATTCTGCCTGGTAGGTGGAATGAGGTAGGCATTTGGAGCGGGTTTGGTAGGTCTAACGGGCTTGGATGGGCCAACATGCAAAACGAGCCAATGTATGAAACTGGCCCATTTTTAAGTCCAAGTCTGGTTGAACCGATTCAATTGACCGGGCTGGGCCGATTTTAAAACCATGGTCAAAACGGAGAAAATGAAGTATGAAAGAAAAAGCGTATGCTAGCAAAAGCAAAATGGTAAAAGGTGCAATTTAGCCCTTATACTTTTAATATTATGGCATGTCAAATCTTCTACTTTAAATTAGTGCAAATCAACTCCTCAACTAAACAAAATTTGCAAATCAACCCTTTAAGTAAATATAACGTTATTTTCCAGTTAAATCATCCACTGTCCATTAAGATGGGATGACTAGGCATTGATTAGGTGATGACTAAGCAATGACTTGTCACTTTAAGGATTTTCAAGATGTGTTTTTGGTTCAAGTCATTGCTTAGTCATCGCCGACTTAGTGCCTAATCATTTCATCTTGATGAGGCAATGAACAGTTCAACAAAAAGGCAAAACCCTCAAATCCACCCTCAAAAAGTATTGGTAAGGACACATCCACCCCTAAAAAAAAAGTTGGGACAAATTGCCTATCCAAATTATAAATCAATACAAATTACCCTTTTTTCAATGAAAAACGTCAGAATTTTGTTTGTCACGTCAGTATTTTTTAACGGAAAACGTTGAAAAAGGGGTCATTTGTATTGATTTATGATTTTGCGAGGTAATTTCTCCCTTTTTTTTTTTTGAAGGGTGAATATGTCCCTACCGATATTTTTTGAGGGTGGATTTGAGGGTTTTGCCCAACAAAAAAATGATATTATCTTTATTAAAAAGGTTGATTTGTGAATTTCGTGTAGTTAAAGGGCTAATTGTACTGGTTTGAAGCATAGGAGTTGACATGCGACAACATTATAAGTATAAGGGTTGAATTGCTTCTTCTACCTAATAAAATTAGTTACAAACTTAAGTTTAATCAAATTCTAAAATTTTAAAAAAATTACTTTCATCAAATTGTCAATGGCTAAACCTCTGTTTAGCCCCTTAACTTATAGATTTTAACGTTATTGGCCCTCCACCTAAAAAGTTTAGGGTATTAGCTCCTCAATAATATGATTTGAGAGAATTCACCATTATTTAATAGATTTTAACCTCATAAGTTAATCAAACATTATTTCCATCTTATTCAATAACATAGTTAGCATCTAAATCCTACTAGGCATACCACCATGGCAATCAACAAAAATTCCTCCATCAATATAATACATGGCTCACTCTGGTAAAGTTAAATTCTTTTTATTTTTGTCAAGATTCTAAACAAGGTTTTATATATATATATATAAAAATTAGTATGATAAAGTGTGACATTGCCACAGTAGCATGTTACATAGGATAAAAATGTTAACTATGTTGATGATTAGGATTGAAATAACATTTTACTAATAGTGTAATATTAAAATCTATTAAATAAGAGTGAATTCTTCGAAATTATATTGTTGAAAGGCTAATACACGTAATTTTTTAGGTAAGAGACTAATAACTTTAAAATTTGTAAGGGGCTAAATAGAGGGTTAAGCCATTCTCAATTAATATTATCAACTTTAATAATTTTTAAATAGAGTAAAAATCTACTTATATACAAGTTTTATACATTATATTTACATTAAATTTTGACCATTCATTTTTTTACTTTTAATGTTTGAGATTTATTACGACTTTAAAATGAAAAAGATAACATTATTAATAAATATAATGAAAAGTGAATAAATTTCAACCATTAAAAGTAATAAATAATCATGATTTTGTATAACTATAATATATAAAAATTATGTGTATGTAGATTATTATTTTTTTAAATAAATTTATTTTTACATAATTCTTAAATAATAAAATAACATTGATACCCCTTCACTTCTCACTATTTCTCTCTCTCTCTCTCTCTCTCTCTTTTAAAGAAGAATTTTTTGGTAACATTTGATCCATTCCTTTTCTCTATTCTACATGATGTGTTTACTTGTTGAGAATAGAAAGTGTGTGTTTGGAAAAATTTTTAAAATAATCACTTTAAAAGTAATTTTCTTTATAAATTTGAAATTTTATTGAAGAAAAATTTAACAATTAATTTTTAAATATGTTTTAAAATAAGTTTGAAAAAAATTATAGTCATTATGTTCTTAAACCAACTTTTTGACACCTTAAAACTAATTCTTTCTAACAATTTTAAAGGTATATCTCATATTAAACTAATATATTTAAGAAAATTAATTTTTCAAATCTAGTTTTCTCATTGAGATAATATTTTGTTTATTTTAGTAAGTGTTTGAAAGTTTATTGACTAATTCGATAGAGAGGGAATTAATTACGGTCGGAAAAAAAGTACTTTAATCTCATTAAAAAAAAGGCTTTTTCCTCCCCTTTATTTTTTTAATTAAATAGACCATTTTTTTTTCTCATTTCTCTCTTCTCCTTTCAAACCAAACAAATTATAAAAGTATACCTAGTTTATACTTTAAAAAGGAAGGAGCTTCCCTTTTTTTTTTTTTACTTTGGAACTTTATGGGGAAGGGAGATTAGTAGTGATTAGGTATAGAACTCAGGACTTCATGTCAAAATATCTTCCCTTAAAGAGATGATTACTATGCTATTTAGTGTTGGACAAAAGCTTCCTTATTTTGAGAAAAAAAAGTGGAAAGGAGGGGAGGGCTTTTCCTTTGAAGTTTTACTTTAAATATTTTTATATATTTAATATTATCCAAGCAGGGAAAATTGAGGAAGGAAGTGGAGGAAAATAAAAGGATATTAGCTTTCATCCCTTGCCTTTTAAAAAGAAAAAAATCTCAAATCAAATAAATTCTAAAAAAAATAACTATTATCATAAAATGACCAATTAGTTTTAAATGAATTTTTTTTTTACTTTCTAAATAAATTTAATCTCTCAAAATTTTTAAGACTAATTGAGGATTCAAAGCCCAAGTTTTAAATGAATTTTAAAACTTTGAGTGGTCTTAGATGAATATTTTCCTACTTTTTTCTTCTTTTCTTTCTTGATCGTGTGATTTGATTTTGTTTGAAGATTAGAAAAGTAGAAATATAGGGTGTCCCTGACTGAGGCACGTGTTTGGAATTTTGTGTCAAAACGGAGAAAATGAAGTATCAAAGAAAAAGCGTATGTTAGCAAGAGCAAAATGGCAGAAGGTGCAATTCAGCCCTTCTTCTTTTAATATTGTGGCATGTCAGACCCTCTATTTTAAATTAGTGCAGTTCAGCTCCTCAACTACACGAAATCTGCAAATCAGCTCTTTGAGTAAATATAACGTTATTGTCCAATTAATCGTCCACTGCCTCGTTAAGATAGGATGACTAGGCACTAATTATGTGATGATTAGGTACTAATTAGGTGTGATTAAGTAATGATTAAGCAATGATTAAGCAATAACTTGTCACTTTAAGGATTTTCAAGACGTGTTTTCTATCTAAGTCATTGCTTAGTCATTGCCTAATTAGTGCCTAATCAGTTCATCTTAACAAGGCAATGAACAGTATAACATACAAATGATGTCATCTTTACTAAAAAGTCTAATTTGCATTGATTTAAAGTAGAGAAGTTGATGTACCACAACATTGTAAGTAGAAGGGCTAAATTCCTCTTTCTGCCCAGCAAAATTAGTTACAAGCTTTCATCAAATTCTAAAATAAAAATAAAAATACTTTCATCAAATTCTCAATTAATATTATTGATAAGTTGAATTTATATAGATATTAATGTGAAATTTTTATCTTGATATTATTGATATTTGGATGAATTTTATGAGATTTTACATTATTTTCATTCTTTTTGCAGAAAAAGTTTTGAATGCATAAAAATAAGAGTTTTTGAGATTAATTGAATATCTTTTGAAAGTTAAGGGACTGAATTACAAGAAAAAAGTGCTTTTTTGAACCTAAATGAATGGATCTTGAGTTTTGGAATCTAAGTGCTCATTGTACAAAAGCTAGAGGACCAGATCTACTATTTTACCATTGAAAAAATTACAAAGAGAGACCAGAAACTTGACACTAAGGTTGTTAAAATCAAGATTTTTACTTAAAATCACTTTGAGTATATAAAATCGAAATCGTAAAATCAAATTAGTAAAATTGAGAGTTTATTAAATTTAATAAATAAATAATAAAAATTTATATTTTTATATTAATATAATTAAAATTTAACAATAAAAAATCAAATATAAGACTAAA